ATGTTGCCTCAGCTGTTTTTTTCCTAATCGGGGTATCCTTGGCCAAATGCACAGCCCTAACATCATGGAGAGCATCAAGGAGCCTGGAACGACTCTGTTATCCCCCTCATTCCTGGGGACGGAGGGTCCCCGGGACGCAGTGTTGCAAAGTGCACAAATAAACAAGGAGGGACCTTGCTTGTGCCTTCTTGCTCAGGGCGACCTGCGTTGAGCTGGGATTATTAATTGCCCTCTGCCACTGTGGGTGGTCATAACACTTCTGTGAAAATGCTACAGTACCGGCTCAGTAGCATTTTCTGTTGCCTTTGTGGGGGTGTCAGTACAGAGTCTAACCTGCTTTCTTTCATTTTATAACCTGGTTCTTCCAAAAGGAAGGAGCTATACCTCCTGCCCTCTCCCGTCCAGCAGGAGACTGTATATCAGAGCCTGGTCCCAACAGTAAGTTCCCTTCCCTTGCAGGGTGGTGTGTGTGTGTGTGTGTGTGTGTGTTTGTTTTTCCCCCTATATATTTAGAGGCATTTGCTCAGCTCCAGGTCTCAGTCTTTTACAGCGTCAGGATAGTTTGAATGCTGGCATGTGCACAGCTACCTGTATCATCGGTCATTTTCTATGGCAGGGTGTGGAAGGATGCCGTTCACTGAGACCACTTACCAGGAGCGCTCCTCCCAGAGCCCATTTATCAAAGCGGTCCTTCAAGGCCCACGTTATATTTTACCCTTGTCGCTGCCACCAGAGACTGCGTGCTGAGAGCAAAGTGTCCATGCTCCTGCCGAACGCACAAGCGTTAAATTGGGTTTTGGGTCCAGTGTACAGCAGAACGTCTTTCCAAAGACAGGGCACCAGCCTTTCGGTATGTTTACTGGTGGAAATTTCCAGCTCTTAATAAGTATGGGTAAGAGCAGCAGAATCTATAAAAGGGGTTTTGGCCTACCATGGCATGAGTAGATTTTCCTGCACTCAGCAAGGTTGGTTGACGCTGCTTCTGCAGCAGCTGCTCCTGTGTTTTCTTAAGGTTTCTCCCCTCCAAACAGGTCCTTTGGAGCACAGTGCTCCATCAGCTCACATCACTGCTGCCTGCCCACGGGATCACTAATTTGGGTCTTTCTCCTCCACTCTACTGCTGAGCTTCGTGGCACTTATAGGAACTCAGGGGCTTTTGAGATCTCTACTCCTGGAAATTTTGGTTGAAAAGGGGGAAATGATACAAAAGATTTTGAAGGGGGAGCAGACACACTGGTAGCACCTGCAGCCTAGAACTACAACTTTCTGAAATGAGAGGCTCACCAAAACATTGTATGTTGAACTGGACAGGAAAGCACTTACCTACTGCATTTTCACATGCTTAAATCTCATTGATCTCAGGTTAGGTTCAAGTGATCTTGAAATGAGGTTTTGGCCTTTTTAACCACACGTGGGCTGTTGTGTCCAGGCATAGTGTAAGAAAGTTTTACATACAAAATGAACAACTTTATAAATATCTGATGACCTGGACTAAATTTTTACTTGCCATGGCTTAAATTTAAAAAGAAGCTTTCATTTTATCATGTGACAGTCTCTCTCTGAAATAGTATATTCCAGAAATGAAATAATATTGCAGCTGATGGGGAAAAAATATGTATTGGAATTATAGAAAAGTTAATCAGAAGGGGCCTTTCATGGTCTGTAGTCCAACCTCTGCTCGAAGCAGGGCTAACTTCAAAGTTCACTCAGGTTGCTCAGGGCCGGGAATAGTTGAGTTTTGAAAACCTCACAGGGTGGAGCCTGAGCATCCTCTCAGCCCCTGTTCCGGCTTCACACTGCACTCATGGGAGAGATTTTTCCTCTTATGTTCGACTGGAATTTCCCTTTTGCAACCGGTGACTGTTGCTTCTTGTCCTTTCACTGTGCTCCTCTGAGCAGGGTCTGGCTCTGTCTGCACCTGCTTCCCTTTCCATGCCGCAAACCACTGTGGGTGCAGTAAGACAAATCTCCCCGGGGTTCTTGTTTGCTTGCTTGTTTTCCGCTCTCCCTGTACTTTCCTCAATTCTGTGTTCTGCCTCTGATTGACAGCATAGCCTAGCTGTCTGCCTACTGCAGGCAAGCATACGTTTAGACTCTGTTTCAAAGCAAGATCTTATTTCTGTTTAGTGCTTTTGAAAAGAGTGCTTCAGAAACTGGATGAACAGAAAAAGAAATGAGATGTTGTAAGCAGAGAAGTCACTGTCTTAAACTCCTGTCTGCCTAATACAAATGTTAGTTATTACCAAGGGTAGTAGCGCAAGAAGCTTTTTGTCTCTGTATAGTTGGCCTTCACTCTACTGTAACCGCATCAGACAGCGGTGAGCAAGACAGCATGACGTTAACACCTTCAGGACTGCAACATATGCACCTTTCTCTTACGCCAAAAGTGTGACTCCCTTAAGTGGCAGGTGTGGGAGCAACCAGGCAGCAGCTCAGATATGCCCCAGGCCTCACCAGCAAATTTGAGGTCAGCCCAGGAACCTAACAGTAGAAGGTCAAATTTGATTTCTTAAAAATACCCCAAAGTGCGTCAACAACAGCTGTGCAGCTGTTTTTATTCAGTTTTAAAAATAACGGTAACTTTTTCTTAAGTAGCATTACTGTGTGTTTTGTCAAGTTTCCTCATGTGTTGAGATGCAAAAGTTTAAGCAATATCCTGTTCAGATGTGTTTCTGTTTGATAATAAAAATGGCGTTGACAGTGAGGGATTACACTGTATAAATTATTACTGAGTCCTCTATTTTACATTGAAGCAAGGATGTGTCCTATAAATTCACAGCTGTTTTAACTTTTTCTTTTCCTCATCTAGACAGCTATATGTCCATGAGGTCTATTTCTTGATCTATATGGACATGTAATCTTTCTTGGGATTATTGCCATAGAAACAAGATGTAACAGAGAGAGCATTAGAAATAACAAATGGGATTTGGCAGTCTTTCCTATTTACTACACCAAGTCTGAGTTGTGTACAAAAAGCAGCAATTAGTTGCTCTTGGAGCCTTATTAACGTGCACATCTGCATGTTCATTAAAATTAGATACTTCAGCTTCCATTCTGGCTTGGATGACATTTGGACGTTCTGGTCTTTAAAATAAAATAAACTGAAATCCCTGACATCTATTTGTTTTTTTCCATTGAGGCAGGAATTTGCTGGATTTGACACTTGTGGTTTCTTTTTGGTTGCTCAACCCGGTGGTAGGCTGCGCTGCCGGCCTGTGCGTGGTTCCCAGGAGATGGGGCGTGATGCAGAAACTGAACCGTGGCTCCCAGGGAGCAGGCCCTCCTCTGAGGGATAAAGTCGTGTTTTACTAGAGAAGCTTGTTATCCCATGGTGCTTAGGCTCCGCTCACAGCCTCTCCTGGGGCTTCCCAGCTGCCTGGGTCACGGACACATATCGCCCTTCGTGACTTTGGCACCCCTCAGACTGGGCAAGGTTTAGCAGCCTGAGCTTTGGGGAGTAGTTGGGTTGTGCCAGGCCAAGAGGCGCTTTAGGCGCACAGGGATATTTGCAGGAGTAAATACAACATGCTCTACAGGTAGCTAAAGCTGAGCTTGCTGCCTGCGTTACAGCACGTCCCTGATGTATGTGAGGGAGAAACACAAACGCGAGCTTTCAAGCCAAATCTGTGGGGCAGCATGGGGCAGACATGGTCCTTCAAGCAGGCAGAGCTGGTGCTCGGGAGGGAGAGCTGGAGGCCTGGGCAATGTTTCATAGCTGCCTGAGGGAAGAGAGATCAGCACTAGGACTCTTCTCTTTCGGTATTTTCCCATCTCCCTCACCCCAAGGAGAATCAAATTTAGAAGCAGATTGGCAGGTCACGGAGGGCTGGTGTTTGCAAAGACCCTTGCTCGGGATGGTGCGTTGGCTGACTGGGGAGTGAGAAAGCACTGTCCTTTTCCCAGTCCAAGTCGTGTGATGCAGCCTCCAGTTGAGAGCAGAGCAGCTTTGGGGCGCGGGGGTCGCAGAGGCAGCTGGAGATGCTTTAAAGCCCTCAGGGCAAAATCTGCCACCACTCACACCAGTTTGGAAGCAAAGCAACTTTGCTCAATAGAAGAAACAATGAAAGCTGATTGTAAGCTGCAAAATCGAGATGGAGTCTGGAAAGTAAACCAATACAGCCTGGAAAACTGAAATAAAGGGACCTGGAAGGTGGGCTGCGTGCTCTGAGTTTGCATGGCCTCCTTTTCAAAGGTGCTGGGCATCCTGCAGCTCTAGTGAAGTCGATGAGTGCTCAGGATCCTTTTGAAACATATATTTAGTGCCTAAGTATAGATCTAGGACTGAGTAACTTTAGGTTCCAAAAATAGCGCAGGTATCTGGCTTTTCCGTCTTCATCATTTCTCTTTTCTTTGCTCTTTAATCTCTTCAGCTCCCACGTTCTCCGTTCCTTCCACCTCTCTTTTCCTTTTTCCATCCTCCCCTTGGCTGATTGTATCCTCCTGTATCTGCCCTTGCCCCTAACTGCTTATTCGGGCAGTTCTCCTGTCCCTCAGCAGCCACAGAGCACTTCTCAAGGTCCTTCCTGAGCAAGCCCTGGCTGGCACCATTTTTCCTCCTTCTCTCACCCAAAATCCTTCCAGACTCATTCTCAGAGGGATGAAGGTTCAAAGCTACCACTTTGCTCTCCTCAGGAACCTGCTGAATTCGAGTGCCAAGTACGTTGCCTCTCCTGCCTGGGACTGCCCTGGGCTATAGTTAAAGGGGGGTTACCACAGATCTCGCCTGGGATGGGAGCCCGAAGCAGCCTCCGTCATTTTGCAGCCCAAAAGCAGAAGCAAAATGTTCCATTTTCCTGTGGGTGTACTTCCCATCGCAGGTGTGACCTGCTGGTATGAAAGAGGGTTTCGCAGAGGGTGTTATGGAGGGCTTGTGTTAATTTTGTGAACAGAAAACTCTCATTAGTGGCTTATGTTTTTCAAGTTATCAGCAGAGGACGGTTGAAACTCTGGTTGTACATCTGATAGATCTTGTTCCTGACATGAATTTATCTCTGTTGCAGGAAGGGATGCCCCAAACGCTGAGGTCTACCAGCATGTTTACCCCATGTGGCTTCAGCCCTCATCTACATACTTCAAAAGAAGATGAACAAGGAGGATTGATCTTCCAGGATGGAAACCTTACCTCAGCATCTCTGGATGCTCTAATCCAGCATCTTATACCTACCACGGATTACTACCCTGAAGTAAGCAATTCACAGTATAATAAACAGCTTAATTTTGATGAATTGGGACAGCACTTTATGCAAAAATGCAAATATGTTCAATTTTGAATTAAGAGAGCTTATTTAAAAACTGCATACAGTTAAAGCTTGGTATATTGATGCATGGCTTTAAATGCTGTTGCGCTGCTCTGTAATTGTTTCCATGAAAGAGCGGATCCCAAAGTTGATACTGCCTTTAAATAAGAGAAGAGAGAGGAAAAAAAAAAAAACCTGTAGTGATGATGAATTAGTGATTTAGCAGTAGGAGCACTTCAAAAATAGCAGTCCATCCCAGAGAGGTTTAGATGAAAACTAAAGCAAAAAACTTTGAGTCTGAACTGGCATTAAATTAGCTGAATTTCAGCAGCTACTAAAACCGTCAAGGTTTCTCTGCATGTATAAAGCATTCCCTCAGTGAAAATAGAGGAATTATGATGGGTTCTTAATTTTCCTAGGGTTATATGCACAGAGACTTTACAGTCTGGACAGCAGAGCCCAGATCCTGATCTTTGTTCCATCGGTGAAAATTCACTGTTTCTTCACTGATAATATAAGGATTGGAACTGAAAGCAGGTTTATGGTCCTGCAAGCCATTGACTTCACTGGATTTGCACGTTCTCAGTGGAATTTAGGGCAGAGTTTGACTGGAAGACTTTTAAGTGCTAATGTGTCCCTATGGAAAGGCTTGTATTTCAAAGCACCAGAGTAGCATTGACTTCTGGGCAGTTTAGAGGACCACTAAAGTTATCAATGCAGAGCAGACAGCATGTTTTAAATTAGCCACAGCTCAGCTTCTGATCAGCTAAAAATAAGTCGTAAAGGAGCATATCAATTAAAAAAGAACAGAAAGGCAATAAAAGTAGGTAATGGCAAGATTAGGCTGTGAGATTTCCGGTAAGCAATGTATGATATGAAATTATTTCACCCGTCGCTCAGGAGCATGGCTAGGTCTGGGGGGAAGAAGATAATCCAGGCGCCAGGAGGGGTCGTGATGCAAACGAATGAGGATTCATGCGTATATTTTAAATTCAGTGCAGGAGTATTTTAAATAATCCAGTGACTTATCCAACAGTCTTCCTTCCTACAGCTTCAGTGATGTGGTACTGCGCTTGACACAGCTTGGCTGGTAGAAGCACGTTTTGGGGAGTTAGTAGAATGAGTGAAACTTTCCCTAAAGCAGGCAGGGTGAGACTGGCAAGGCACTGAAGGGAAGTGTCTAAGGTCTACAGCTCCCAACCCAGCGTGGCACAGGGCTGCCTGAACAATGCTCACTTCCTTGTCACTGGCCTCCAGGGTTCCCTGCTTCTGCTGTCTCCGCCACCTGGGCTAGCTCTTGCAAAGTGAGCTAGAGGCAGTCTTCCCTGGACCTCCCCACAGCATATATCCAAGGGTCTGGGGAGGCAAGGGTTGGAAATGGGTGCTGAGAAGGTAGGAGATGCCACTAACTCATGGGAGGGTCTGAATGGCAGGATGTGCCCTCTGTAACCAGTTTCAGGGTCAGGAATCCTTATGTCCTTTAGACATACAGGTCTGTCACTTTGTCCCAGTGCGAATGCCTTGCTGTGAAAGAGCAGATTGTTTGCTCTCATGGGTTTTACTGCTTAAAAGAAAATGTAAATTTTCAAGAGTTTGTATTTAATAAACACAGAGGAGCAGACATCCACCTGGCAGCTGTAAGTCACGGTGTGACTTACTGACACGTGTAATGAAAAGCTATTTCCTCTCTAAGCAGGGGCTGTGCTCCAGCATCTGTATTGCTTTTGAGTGGGAAACTCTGTTTTGAAGTACAGCAAAAACCATGGATTTCTGGCTAATCTTAGCCACATGGTGGCTGGCTTACAGGAGGTCTGCTTGTCTCTTTTCTGCAGAAAGCATATATCTTTATTCCGGCTGAGTTCCAGGCTCTTCATCGAACCCCACGAGCTTCTGTCCCGAGTCTGTCACAAGTGCATTGAGCAGCAGCGGCTGGATGACCCGGTGCTGGACAAGGTTAGTTTGGCTTTACAGCAGAAAAACGTGAGGTATTTTCAAGGGGCAGAGAGTCCTTGGTCCCCCTTTGGATTGAACAAAAGCATCCTCATAAGGGTGATGGTTGTTGCTGAGATCCTGACATTGAGGCATCCTAGTATCGGTGTCCGAGAGCGGCGCTCCAGGCACCAGTCACTTTGAATCCTCTTCTAATTTGTCTTTCCCCTTGTCGCAGTCTTCCCAAGTGATTCTCCTCCTTCTCCTAAGGCTCTGAGGAAGGCTGCAGGATGCGAGGAGGTGGGATGTAAACCCAGCCCTGTGAGGCGCGGGCGCCAGCCCAGCGCTCTCCCGCTTTTACTTAACGCGTCTGCCCTTTTGCTTTCTTGCTGCTGGTACAGTGTGTAACAGTTCCCCTCGGCCTTTCCTGTGACCGTGAACGCGGCGTAAGAGCGTGCAGCTCCCCGCCGACCGCCCCTTGTTGAAGCTAACGAAATGGGAAAATCCAAGCTGTTGCCGTGTCTCCGCTCCTCCTGATTTTTTGCCCAAGGACTGAGCAGACTGATGCAGCGTGTGACAACGCACGTGCGTCTGCTGGCAATCCCAAAGGCAGCGCGGTCGAGACGGATCCCGTTGGATCCTGTTCAGTGCCAGATTCGACTCAGCTCTCCTTGGGGTATGGATGAAAACTTGTCCAGTGCGTTGCCTGGAGCAGGAGATATATCTTCAGTGCAGCGGAGGAGAGAAGAACGTGTGTCAGTTACAGTTTTACCCAAAAAACTCCCCAAAAGCTCAAACAGAATTCTGAAATGTGTCTCAGGATCAGCCTTCCCAGCTGAAAACACGGTGGTTTTGGCATCCAGTACTGAATCAATCACCAGCATCTGAGCACATGTGCTTGTTTATGCCCAGGCAGCTGGTTGCAAGAGTAACAGGAGCTCCACCTTCCCTGCAGCATGCAATCAGGCAGCCTCTGTAGATGCCGGATATTTGAGTTGCACACGCTGTCTGAGTGCAATGGAAAAATTTGTGTCAGTCGCAGCATCCAAAACAATTTTTCTGAGGTGCGATAGGTTCTGTTCTCTGATGCAGGTGCTATGCCTGATGCAAATTTATGGGGATTAAAATGTGAGCGTTGCAAACTACTGCTGCTCGTCAAACTTTGCAAGAAATGAGAGACATTATCTTATTATCTTATTACAAAGACCTCCCAATCTGCCTGAAGGGAAGCTGCTTCTGAGTGAAGCTGCATTTCGGACAGCCCTGCAGTAATGCAGAGTTAGTGGGACCCAGCTGATTGTGTGTTCCTGAGAGCAGGGCTGACTTTGAAACTGCGGCTGCACACAAGTGACCTCCCATCCCTCGAGCCGCGTCCTGTGACTTGCACGAAGTCCTCTCCTTCAATTCATAATAGCAGTTTACACAGCTGGAGCAAATGTATCCCCAGACCTTTGTAGTTTCCAATAAAGCTTTCCTTTTAGTAGCCACCTGCTGGTCTTTGAGCGTGAGTTTAATGCTAGCTGACAGCAGTTATTTTTAGAGATGTGGTTCATTGAAACCTGTTGTTGGTGGAAAGCTGAAATATGCGTTTTAACCACCTTGGTTAAAAAGCAGAGAGCTGTGGAGCTCAAGAGTATAATTTTTCCTGATTACAGGGTACGCTTCAGCTACAGTACGTATGCAGAAGAAGGCTGTTTGTTTTGGTCTGTGTTTTCTGTAAATAAAAATACAGTTTATTGTTTAACTCAATTTCCTCTTTCCGTGTTCTTGAATAATGGAGGATAAAAGCTTTGGAAGCAGCTGCTCTGGCTGTATATTGGGATAATAGTAAGGCACCAACAGTGCTGTTCTCCCCCCTTTCCCCTCCTTGCCCCATATCATCCCCAGACTATTCCTACTCCTGCATCGTTGGGCAAATCTACACGAAAAGCAAAGTGGGCAGCAGCTGTGTGTTATGTGAGTGAGTGTCCTTCTTGTCCTATCATGACCTTGAGCTCATGTAGGAGAAGGGCAACCTCATCAGTAGTCCAGGTGAAGGTACTGACGTGCCTGTATTTTGTCTGTCTTTTCTTCCTTGTGTTACCTCTACTAGTGGTCACTGTGTAGTACATCCCCCTGCCAGGAAGCAAAGAAGCAAAAGATACATCTCTGTAGGTCAAGAAATAATGTTGCAATCAATTTTTCAGGAAATGATGAAAGCACAGGAGGGCTGTAGGGAGGAACATGTGGTCCAAATCAGCAAAAAGGCTAGGTGTTTTAAAGTAAGGTATTAAGGCTGCACTAACAAAATATGTCCATCCACCTGTAAACTGGCCAATTGCGTGGGCAGAATACATAAATCCGCACACAAAACAGACAGTTGTGCATGCATATAGACACTGGTACATTTCGCATGCAAAAATGTGTCATTTGTGCACCAGACTACTTGTTCGCAATGTGGAGATTTTGCAGGTGCAACCGTAAGTGCCGCCTTTGAAATTTGGCCCCACGTTCAGGGAGATACATATTTTCTGGGACTGTAATGAGTAAACACGTTTCAATCCATATCCATCACTCTGGTTTCCTTTTCAGGCACGGATCAGAAAATTTGGACCCAAAATCTTACAGTTGCTGACAGAGTGGACAGAAACATTCCCATATGATTTTCAAGAAGAGCGGATGGTCGGCCATCTGAAAGACATGATTCACAGGATAGCCCCATGTGATGAGGTGAGGATGTCTGGCTGGGAACGTTTCATGAGGATGTTAAATTCATTTATCCCACTTGATTCCTCCTACTGTTTCTCCTGTTACTTGCTGTGTTCTGTTCCATGCCTGTTCCTAGGAACTCTTAGTTTTGTTCTCCTCTGCTGCTAAAAACCTGTAGTAGCTTCCCCGAAAGCCATGTGTCCCCGTTTAGGTATTCATGCGGCAGTGACATAGGAACACATCAGAGTTATCAGTGCAATTTTTCTACCGCAGACCACTTTCTAGGAGAATAATGCTCCCATTTTACAGATGAGGGATTTGAACGGTAGCATAGACCGAATGTGGTGTTCACAGTTCAGATAGCAACCTCCCTGTGATCTCCCAAATTCTAAGTCTAGCAGAGGAGTTAAGTATCATGACTGAAGACCAACCATTCTGCCCAAGCAGTGGCTCATGGAGCATTCCTGGATGTCTAATTTAGAGAACGAGGAGTGGAGCAAGCAGCCAGTCTTCAAGTGACTGCATGGGGGAGCTAAAGAAGATCACCACTTGAAGGTACCTGAAGAAGGCTTCCTCTCTCGATGAAAATGAGTGCTTGTGAAAGTGGAACCAGCAAGGGAGGTTTATGGTCCTATTTTTTCTCACCTTCTCCTGTTTCCATACGTCCTTGATCTCCTGCCCAGAAGTCTAATTTTTCATTCCTTAGCTTACATCTCCTCACAGTCTAGTAACTTATTTGGAACAATCTTTACTTTTTGTCATCATCTTTTCATTAGGGAATCCGACAACAGTTTGGCTCGCATGTTCCTGTTCTGTGCAAAGCATGTCACAGGTTCGATGCTAGAGCTGGTTCATATTGTATAGCTGGGATCCAGATAGAGAGTGAGCAGATGCAGAGCAGCAGACTCCGATCACAGCTTGACTAACGCCCCTGGGATCCACATTAAAGATCACGGGATCTATGGGGGCTGGGGCGTTAGCTCTTTTTGAATCCAGTCTGTTTTCTGACCTGGAGAGATAGCAAGGGACAATCCTTACTTTTTTAAAAAAATGTTTATGGACACGTGGGTTCTCTGAGGCATAAAAGTGGCAGAAGAAGACAGCAGCATGTGGCCTGCTGCACAGAAGCTCAGTCTAGATGGTTATAAAGTTTCGCTCTTGGTATTCAAATACATGAGATGTGTGTGTGGCAGAGCAGGACACAATGAACAGAGACTCTCAGAGACCTGCATGCAAATTCAGGTGGGTGAACCCCTTAAATTAATTCAGAAACATTAAAAATACCAGAAAGTCCATGAAAATAATAAGGATATGGGCAAACAGCACATTGACAGTCTCTAATTACTTCTAGGTTAACCATGAGATGTGGAAGAATTCAGCTCGATTGGCTACATCAAGGCCTGGCTTCAGGCCACAGATGTGTGCAATTCAGTATAACAAAAAGCGCATACCCATGAGGCTGGAAGAGAGAGGGGTGGAGAGAAAAGAGAAACAATTAGCAGGGCTGAAGCAGGATGGAAATGAAATTGGACCCTCCTACCCACATGAAAAACGAGAGAAATGGAAACAGCTGCTCTTGGGTTGGGCTGGCACCACTGCTGGCACTTTGGGGCTGGCTGCAGGCTGGCACGGCTCTGCTGGTCGGCCCGTGGGAGAGAAGAGCATGGGGAAGCAGTGTGACGCTTCAGTGGAGCTGAACGGAACGGAAAGGGCTGCCAGAAAGGGCCAGGGTGGCCTTGACCCCAGCAGCAGGAGGCAGGTGACCCGTCCTGCGGCCTTCTTTAAACTAACTATGTTCCTGATGAACATATTTGCCAGACCTGAGCGACTGCCGCGCACCTGAGTGTGCAAATGTGGTGCTTAGCGTTATGTACTGATGCTTAGAGGTGCTCTGAGGGACCTCAGACTGGATTAGGTCCAAATCATTGTTTTTCAAATACTACTAGGCACTGTAATTGCAAGTGATTATGCCTGAGTGAAATCAATAATTAATTTAAGGGACAGCTTGTATCCTGCAAATGCAAATTTCCTTTTTTGAGGGGCAGCATGAAAGAGTGGTTGTGCCCATTAGTTGTTTGGAAGAAAGTTGTTCCCATCGTGAATCACAGAAATTTAAGATTGAAAGATTTGTTAGGTCATCTAGTCCATGTAGGTTAATGCGGGATTTTCCCCTCCAGTATATGCTTCTGTCCTTTGTATAGTCCACTTTCTAAAGGCTCTGTGATGTGCTTATAAGGGTGTCCATGCTGAGAAGCGTTTCTTAGTAAGTGCTGTGATTTGCATTTAGAGTTAGAAATTTTAATTAAAATTTGAGCTCCTAAGCCACCTGCTGAGGCCTGCTGTCTTCAGAGGAACTTTCTCAGTTAAGAATGAAAGATTTTCTTTAAATATTAAACAGTAGCATGCTTCTTTTGACTGTTAATGTGGGAGTGAAGAAAAACAGGTTGATAGCAAGTCCAGCATGCAGCTCCCATACAATGGGGGTTCACTTTGTGGCAAGGTGATTACCAGCATGTCAAAAGTAATGAAAAATGTCATTTTCACTTAATGAATGTAGTTTAAAGAAAGCAGGAAATGCTTTTAAAAGGGCAAAAAATGTTGTCTTTCTTTTTTTTTTAATTCCTCCCCCAATATTCACAGAAAAGCTTTCCAGGAAAGGGTGCACCCAACAAATTCCTCAGTCTCTTTAAAAGCTCTAATTTATGAATAATCTTTTTTTTGTGTTCATTAACTGTCTGTTTCATTTCATTCTCTCTTGCTGATTGGCCTACCTGAATCTTTGCTTACTGTTGTCTATATATATTTTTTGTGCCATATTTCCTACAAAACTAAGTGAAACTAGATCTCTTGATGAAGGTTTATTGAAAGACTTGTTGATATACTTGTCCCTCAAGCAGTTTTGTGCTGCTGTCTGGCTTTTCATCCAGACAAGGTTTGGTGCTGCACAGATGTAGCTGGTCAAAGATTTCTCATCCAAACTGCGTTGTGAAAGAGAACTGGGTTTTCAGCTGGAAGCTTTTTTAGCAAAAATGTCAGATGTTCTGTGGAAAACTGATTTCAGTCCTCCCCCCCCCCGAATTAATTCCCCCAGTTCACAAAATATGTTCACAAAATAACAAAATATGTCACCACTTGAATTCCACTAAAAACCACTATTCTATTCATAGGGCTTCAAAAGCTATGCCAAGTTTTGCAAACACACCTGGGGTATAAACCAGAGAAACGTTCAGATGCTGTTCAGTGGTGCAGGTCCAGGCTGGCCTTTGTAAATCAAAGGGTGACCATCTGTCTGAGTGAGGATTTATGTGAAGCAAGCCAGGCAGTCTCTCTTCCTGGGACCCAGTGTACATCCGGAGCAGATGAAATTTGAAAGAATGGTTTTTATATTCTTAGAAATTACTTCAATTATTTTTTTTTTCACTCTCCGCCTCACTCCTCCTCTGTGATGTGCCTCTAAATGAAACATGTGTTGAACATTTTCATAGAGGAGTCCCTCCTGCCTTCTAGGTATTTACTTCATTTTGGGCTTGTCAGCTTTATTTTTGCAAAATAGCCTGACCACTGGATCATGCTTCAGCCCAGCTCAAGAGGGCATCTTCTGTGCACAAAATGAGAGGTACCCCAATAGCCAGTCTTTCTGCTAGCAGAGTTGTACAATTATGACAAAGTCTTTCAGCAAAAGTGGAAGCTCTTGGGATGTTGTGAGGGTTTCCAGCCTTGGACCATAATGAATGCAGGGCAGATGAGAGAACGTTATTCTAGACTGTGAAGCAGTAGGATGCAGTGCTTTCCATATGTAGATGGTATCCTGCGTTGGTGAGAAGAGCACTGAGCCTGGCTCCTGGTAACTTGGACACCTAAAATGTGAGTGCTGTCAACACCTACAACTTCAGACTATCCACAGTCTAGAAAAGTCTGAAGACAAGGGCTGTACCTAAATTGTGGGGTGCAGGAGCACTTTCCAAACGTGCATTTGGGCTGTGTCCAGCTTGGGTTGTGACACAGGTGTGTGTTGGTCTTCATGGGAAGGCATGCTCTGGCCAAGTTGCTGGTGTGATGATCAGGACTGCATGGAGGGTGCCATGGTGTCCATCTGTGCAGTACAGATGTATCAGAGGAGGGCTCCATGCCAGCTCAGATTATGCCCTGACAGACTACAAACTGGTGTTACTGGCAATTTGATGTGGCTCAGTTCTGTTTGGAGGGGGAGTGAGGAGTTAGTCAACTTGTGAGCAGCCAGGACATCTCTCCGCTGTGTATCTGTGTGCTAGGAGGGGGAGCTCACAGTAGGCCAGCATGCAAAGCATTTTCCCAAGGGATCGTGCTCTCTGGAGTCAAACAAGTACCCATTCCACCTGCGACTGATGCTGCTTTCTCCTCCAGGGAGAGCCCATGAAGCCCTGTTCTTTAGCAGGATACAGCCACCCTCTGCTCCACATGAGGCTTTAGCCCAAGGACTTTTTCAATTAATTCTGTCTTTAGAGCCCATCCACCTGTTCTCTCGTTTATCTCAGTTTTATAATGTCTGCATCTGTCAGATATGAAGAGCTGAAGGCATTTCTGCCCATCCTCTATGGCCAGCGGCTCCACTTATTGTCTGTGAAGAGCTGTTCCAGCTCTGAGAGCAACCTGAGCAACTTAGTAATGATCATCCTGCTGAGCACATGGCTGTGCTTGGAATACGATATGAGCTTCCTCCAATAGCAATTAGCATTTTGGATATTAAATACTCAAAGCTATGCAATGCTCAGATCTCTCCAACAGGGTAGGCATGCTTTTGGTGCTCTCAGCTCAAAAGGATGGAGAGTATGTCATTAGAAATGTTTCTTATTCCTAGCAAATAGGGATTTACTAGGAAACATTAACAGCTAAGTGTTGGCCAAGAACTCTCCCTAGCATAAAGGATGGGGACCAAATGCTCTGCTCCAGAAAGCTGGTGTAACTCGTATTAATAGCATTACCTCTCCTCCAATCCCACCAGCACTGGTGTTAGCAGGAGTATGCTAGTATTGCTGCCAGCCCAACCCACCAGTCCTGCTTGCCTCTTCTCTCTTGACTGCAGTCTGTTTCTGTGGTCCAAAGCCCAGAACTATAATTAAGGCAACTGGTTATTCTGAAATAGGCTCATTGAAAATAAAGTGGTAACCTGTTGCTGGCTTAGAATTATTTTGCGGTAGGAAAGTTCAGCATAGAAAACACTCTATTGTCAAGTTCCATGGGTGGTTTATATTTCTTTCACTCTCCACGTTTCCAGGCCTACCGGAAAAAGATGAATCAGCTGCTGCAAACTCTGAATCAGAAGCTTGCAACCCTCAGCCATGGGCAAGAAGGGATTGTCAAGATCAGTGCTGCTGTCTCTGATAAGCTGGTTGCCTTTAAAAGCAAACCTCCATCAATCCAGAGAGAAATCCTGAGTGTCTGCAGTGACCCCTACACTCTGGCTCAGCAGCTCACACACGTGGAGTTGGTAAGAAGGAATGGTTTCCAACTTCTGCAGTCAGAGATATTTTTTTTAAGCCACCAGCTGCTAAGTATTCTAGACACAACCAAGCCATCTGCACTGCTGCAGCACATCCCATGCTGTATCAGCACTGAAGAAGGAGGCAGGGTTTGACAGTTTAAAAGAGATGCTTGAGAAGCAAGATATACGTAGGAGTGTTTCTGTGTATCTTGGGACAGGTCACTTTACCTTTCTATTCTTCAGCTTGCATATTTGTAAAATGTGAGTCATATTCCCAGGAAGGTCAAGGGGTTCCACTTGCTGACTTCTATAAGATGCTGTGAGCCCTACAACCTGTAGGTGTTAATGGAATGGCTGATTATTAGCTCTTTTATTAATTGAGAGGAAATTTTAGCAGCTCAAATCCATTCCTGCAGATACGCAAAGCATCTGATTTGCCTGATATGTTCTTCTTTCTTCCCTTTGGAACTTTCTGCATGTGCATACAAGGGTGTGCAAACAGAAAAACCACTCCCCACTTCCACACAAAGTCCTGCTGTTTCCCTCCTTGAATTGTAGCTCACTCTCAAACAGGCTTTTGATCATAATTGCTCCAATTGCAGTGCCAATGCCTCTGACAGTGTGTTGCACATCGTTCTTCTCCCACTGTCAGGTCCTCCATGTAGACCTAGATGTCCACAGAAGAGTGTAATCTCACTGCTTCTATCTGCAGACCTCTCGGTACTCTCATGATTCCCCACTGCCTGTCCTCCACTAGACACTGTTCATTTTTTGAGAGGAAGGCTGGAAAAAAAACAACATGAAATGAAACTGGACTGTGGATTGGAGTGAATATCTTTGAATTATCTTTGGGGATTTTGAAAGTAGTTCTCAAGAAGTGGAATAGCTCAGAAAGCCCTGATTTAGGATCATGATTTGCTTTCAGAACGTGCAACTTTGGCACTCTTGGTTTTATATAGCTTAAGCTAGATAATACAAGTTCTTTTGCCCAGAGTTTGTTCTTGTTTTTCTTTTCCTCCGCAATACATCTACCCTCCAAGGGGAGATTCCCTGTAACCAAACTGCACTCTTGAAACTGGGACACAGCCAGAGGTTTTCGTTCCACTCTTTCATAATCAGTGCTCTATCTTCTCTTCCACCTATTGTATCTTGTGCACCAATTACTGTGCACTGAAACTGTCTAGTGCTTATTTGTCAGTAAGAATTACTTGCTATTTATTTCGTAACGGTTATTTGTTAGTAAGAGTTCTGTACAGTTATCAGTGTCGAGGTGAGAAGCCAAGAGAAATACCATGGGAGTAGCCATAAAATTTCCACTTAAGCAAAACTTTGATTTTATTTTATATAAAAAGTTGATTTTATTGTTGCTTCAGTATCTTAAGGTTGGGCTATATGAGTTACAAAATATCTTCTCTGGAATATCTTGGAGACCTGTAATCTTTCGGGAGTAGCTGCTTCTAATAAGCGTGTCCCAAGGACCTGAACTGCTAAGTGGGGAGTTGAAGTGACATACTGCTTTCTTAAAAATACCATCTTTGATATCTAATAGCTTAGTGGGATCATACTAACAGCTCAGCTTTCTTGAGGGCCTTCCAAAGCATTTTGCAGACTGTAGTATTACTGTCACAGGTTGGGGAAAGAGAGAGAATGAGACGTGAATGGCCCAAGACCCAGAGCATGGATAAAAAGGAGACTGGTGCCCATCTTCTGACTCCTAGACCATTGAGCTTGTACAGGCTGTGCTGCCCTGCCAATAGCTCAGTCACTAGCACTGGCTTCTTCTGTTCACAGAAGGTGGAAGTGATCTTCTCTTCCCTTTTCATAACCTGAACTGAACTGTGCTGATAGGCAGAAGCAGAAGTCAAAGGGAGTTAAGGAGTGTATATGAAAAGGTAGCCCTGAGGACCTAGTTCATTAAGAAATAGGTTAAATAGGCTCAGCAGCAGCCAGACTCAGTATAATTAATTATGGTGCTAACTGCTGTAAAATACCATACCTCACGTCATGTTTTTTTCTCAACAGTTTTGAGGTCTGTCGGTATAATAGATGTCAAGTCTCAGAGAAAAAGCTGGGGTAAAGTGGAAGCAATTTCCTGTGGTGGTGAAGTTTTGTTAGCTGTCGGATCAAGGACAACTTGGCTTCCATGACCATACATTCCAGAAGCGTGGGAGAGCTGCTCAGCTCCTCCAGAGCTGCAGGGCCAATGCCAAACAAACCTTCCACCAAACACTATCAGGAGCTTCCTTCCCTCTTTTGTCAGCAAGCTTGGTTCTTTGGGGGAGCCAGAGGGAGTTCCCACAGAGGCAGGATCACAAATGCCAGCTTATTTTTAGTCTGCAGCCCAACTGTGGTCCTTTACTCTTAATGTGGCGGAATGTTCCTCCTGAACAGCACCCAGAGGCATTGCTAAGACTGCTAGGTTTGTTCAGGAGCTGGTGGAGAGGGACTGTCCCTTATGTACTCTTTATTTACTGTTGTTTTGGGTAGTGCCTGGGACACTCCACTATGTAACTAATGCCTCTAATGTAAGCACATGCACCTTTAATGCCTGCCTTCCCCAGTGGCACAGAGCCAGTACCCCAGGGCACCACCGGAGCTTCGTTGAGTAGGGAGGTAGGGTCAGAGCACTGTGTGCGCAAAGGAGCGAGTGATTGCTATGGTTACCAAGTCACAGCATTACTGCCGTTTTAACAGCTGGGAAACAATGCTATTGAGAGATGCTGGTCCACAGCACAGAACTGAGGTCTCCTGGCTCCCAGACAGGGCCTTGCGCATCCAGCACCTTTCTCTCTGTGCGGTGGAGAGGGCTCTTACTGTGGCTTGTCAGTAATGAGACATTTTTATTCTCATTCTCCTCTTTCTGCTGAAATAACTCTGATTGCTCTTATGAATTTTAATGTCTGGTGCTAGTTGGCTGTCTACCAGTTCAGTAACTCCCTTTCAAAGCTGACAGATAACGGGAACGTCTTACCAAGAGAAACAGAAGAGATTCTGGGGTACTTTCTTATTCTTGCTGTGTCTCTCTTTTTTTCCCTCTCTAAAAGGAAAGGCTAAGTCACATTGGACCTGAGGAATTTGTGCAGGCGTTTGTACATAAAGACCCTTTGGATGGCACCAAGGTATGATTTGTCTACATGCAAAATGTCTCCTGCAATAACTGTGTTTGTTCCAGGTGAACTGATCTGATGAGATCCATAAGAACAGGGCCTGGGGCACATGTCAAGCAGGACCAGACCCACTGGCAGACACCTATATTCTCACAGCGGGGACAGGACCTTTGGTAGAGCTCTCTCGTTGGCAGGGCGTTGCCATTCCTTCCTGATGAGAATATGTCCCAGCCAGAGACGGCCAGCATCCCAATGTCCTGGCCTCTAGCTCATTCCTCCTAACCTGTTTTGATCAGGGCAGATGGCTTGTGGCTGTACAGAACCAGGGAACGTCTGTTCCCAGCGTTGAAGGCGTAAAGACTTTGGACATGATGTAATGCCCATAGCGTATGCCCAGACACTACAGTAATGAGTCAGTGTGTCATGAATCAATGTACTCTTCTCTCTCTGCACAATAGCTTTTAACCCAAAGCATTGTAGGGGATGGAATGCCTGATCAGGGCTTCATCCAAAGTCTGGAGAAGCCAGTTGGAGCATTTCCACTGATTCCAGTGGGGTTAGAAGCAACACTTCAGTGAGTGTCTCAATAAGGAAAAACAGTTCCTGGCCAGAGAGAGAGAGTCTGAGATTTCACATACTGCCAGAAAAGAAAGAGGGTGGAAAATTCATCCTCAGAACTGCGTATGGGCTCCTACTGAGATTGTGCATCAAAGACAAAATTTCATCTTTAGATGCTGAAAACAACAGAAAGACCTCTGTTTATAATGCTGACCGAAGATAATAACTCCTAATGGCGAAGAAACATTGATGGATGGATGGATAAAAAGTGCAACATTGGGCTTGCTTCTCTCATTGGAATTCTGTAAGTTCTGCACTTGGTTGCAAGGAGAGGGCAGTGAGCAAAGCTGTTGTTCTAGGTACTCTGAACATGGATCACATCCTTTAGGAAGGAAGCCTCAGACATCTAAGGTGTGTCAGAAATATGAAAGCTCTGAGTGCGATAAAAATAATTGTCATTATTAGCAAAGAACTTTGCAGAAACGTGTGTTGAGGAAGATGCTTTCTTGGGCTTAGATGTGTATTAAGGAGTTGTTCTTAATGGAAAATACTATTGGAGCTTTTGATCGCTGAGAAAATGACATCTATTAGCCAACACAAGTCAACTTTTAGTCGAGAGTCCTAGGGTGAGAAGAATTCTGTCTCTTTTTGATACCTTTAGTAAACTTACTGCCTCTGTAGGAGTTCCCAGTGTATCAAAGATGGACTAAAAATCATCTCATTTTAGGTAGAATCTAGAAACTTGCAGTTAAGCATTTTACGCTCAGATTTAATGACAACAAAATCATTCTTCTGCCGCTTGGAAAAGCAGAAACTCACCTAGCTTCCAATACCATGGCGCCCAGGAACAGCTCCTGCAGTCTCCTCCTGCTGGGAGAAGGAAGGGAAGAGGCTGAAGGAGGAGTCATGGGCTCCCATGTGGAGCTGCTGAACTGTCCATGGTGAGAGTGAGCCACCCTCACGATGATTGATTTATTGGTTGCGCCAGCCCTTTGACTATCCCTGTGCTGCTTACCAGCCAGGCGCATCTGGAAGAGACTCTGTAGCTGCTATATCCTTCAGTCAGCCACTTCTGTCAAGGAGAGCCACAATTAAAATAGTTCCTTACAAGCTTCAAGAAATGGCTTCATGGGTGGCACGTGCTCTTGGCTGCAAGGCAGCAACTTGTCTTAGTGTTTCTTGATCCTTACGGCACATGAGCTTTGCATTTTCCTGTCACCTCTGTGCCATCATCTTTGGTGTACCTAGGAGGATGAAGTTGCCAGCGACAAGAAGAGGTCACAGCTGGAAACAGCTAAGAGTTTTAACAGGTGAAAAGGAGTATACCAGCCCAAATGTGCTCTCAGTCAGCCATCAGTCACCACCCCCTACTCTGGTCTTGATAAATCTTTGCTTGGGAGTGTTACACAGTGAAAAGGACAAACCAATCTTCATGAGATTTCAGCAACCTGCTGTGAACGTGAGGGACAACAGAAAAAGGACAAGTGTCTCAGGAAGTCGTCGTCTCTGTTGCGAAGTGAAATGAAAAGGGATCAAATGAAGGCACTGAATTTGAGTGAATTTGGGAAGAATGGGAGGAGAAGCAGCAGTGAGTGAAATCAAATTGGATACAGCCCTGGGCGGGGGATGCTGAGAGGAAGAAGGAAATGTGCGGTGATAGCCTGAGGTACGCACAATGGCTGTGTGTGTCATCTGGCAATAGCTCTATCTGTAATTCCGAGCACAGTGCCAGCACAGAGGAATATTGAGTTGTAAAGAGAAATTAAGGCTACAAAGTAAATGTAAGGAAACATCAGCTATGGGGGACAGGAAAGACTAGAACAGAGAGCCTGAAAGAAAGGCAGAGAGCCTGAAAATAATGGCAGAGTGGGATATCTGAGCAAATTGTCTCAACAGACCGAGATAAATAAGAGATTTGTCAAAATAAGACAGAAATATACAGTTAAGCAGGTTCTTCAAATGCAAATCAGTACAACATCTGTGACTTCAGTGAAGTCCTTAATGACAGGAAAAAGAGCAGGGGCAAGAGCAAAGGATGCATCACTGCATTGCCTTTGAAGTTGAAGGCAAGGTCTTCCCCCTAATAAGGGCCTACTTAGTAAAGCAAAAACTACGAGACATGGCATGACTCAGTTATTAGCCTTCAAGTCAGCAAGGTTGATGAAAGCAGAGGTAGTCTGGAACTGTTCTCTTCTGCCAGGCTGATGGGGAGTCCCAGCAATGACCGAGAAGAGCATCTGCACTATGGTATGTTATAGCTGAGAGATCTCGCAGGACCTGGCAGAGCAGCAGAAAACTTCTCAGCCCTTAAGTGGTGTGACCGATCATGCCCCAACCCTGCGGAGATTATTGTTGCCATTTATAAAGCTTAAACTTTAAAAAGCAGTCAGGTTCAACTTCAAATGGGCGCGTTTTTCACAAGTTTTGTGGCATTAGCTGTGATTCTTATGCCCTGGCACAGGACAGCAGTGTTATGTTGGAAATACTGTATACAGAGCAAAGCTGAAGTTTCATGTAGTTTTTTGCTATAAGGGAGAATGAGAAATAACACAGAGAGCAAGAAAAGCAACAGCTATTGATAGGCCGGGGGATGATTTGGGTTTCTGTTGTTGATATTCATGTATTGCTTGCTGATAGTTACTTTTGAAATGCTTTCAAAATGTATTTTTCCTGTTGGATATGTAATCTACTCTTAAAGTAGCTAGGAATTTTAGGCTTAGTAAGACTTTCCCCATGATTTCTGTTTCTGAACACCTGTCTACAGAATCATAGGTGAATATATATTTTTTTAATTGCCTTGGGAATCATATTAGTCCACATTCCTTAACGGCTTTTAGGTATTTGTTTAACTTATGTAATACGGACATTCCTATTGTCGTTAATGGATCTGTGTTCGCGCACTGTGATTTTTTTTCTTGATGGCACATATTTATGGCAGCTCTGGGAAATGCTCATCCTAATAAAACAAAAATTCAGTATTCTCTGATACCCTCTAGTGGATGTTAATGAATATTTAAGTAAATCACGTGAAGTCTAGAGAGCAGAGAGTCCTAGAACTTTCTCAGAATTTAGGTCTGGGAAAAGAACTCAAATTCTCATGATCCCGAGCAACGTCTTTAGGCTGCATGAACTGCCATACCTCCACTGAAGTCAAATTATTTGTTGAAGTCAAAGGAACTGGAAGAGTTCAGCCAAATATCTGCTCCCACAGCCTGTATCAGTTGTGGGAACTTATATAAAATTCTGTATAAAAAGTGGAGAATGTGCTTCTTATAACGGCCCTTTCTGATGAAGACTCTCATGCAAGTAGGTGGCTGGCTCCAGAGCAGCTGGCAAGACAGAGCCGTCTTGATCGTCAGATCCTGAACACTCAAGAGAGCAAGGGAAATAATTTTTCCCATAAAGAAGCAGCTATAACTGTCTCCTGCTTGCCTCTTCTTCACCTCGCTAAATTATGGACCCTCCCCTCCAGAAAGGGACTGCGGGTGATTGTATTTACTAAAGTGAAGAAAGTCCTGGAGTGAAAGGCTCCAACTGAACATGTTGTGGAAGGCTGTGCTTGTCCTATTTAGTTTTTCTGCAGTGTTTTGTTGTTACTCTGTGGGTCCTGCAGCGCCCCTTAATATCCCAGTGAGCAAGGTTCAGTGCACCGTGCATTGGTGAACACTTGCTGCAGGTAAAATGGGGCTATTTTCCATCTGCTGATGTGAATCGCATAGTGACATACTCGGCTAGAGCCAACTACCAGCCACCCACCTACCCACTGACTTTTTGAACTCTGCCCTTAATGAACCATCCTCTGAGCGCGTCAGAGAGATGGGACGAAGTGATTACCATTGCGTAGCGCGTATCTTAGGACTCAGACAGCTAACTGAAAGTTATGTGTCTTTTTGTCCTTTTTCCTCCCCCAGACTTGTTTCAGTGAACAGAACAAGACAAGTAACCTTGAGGCCTACGTGAAATGGTTCAATAGACTCTGCTATCTTGTAGCAACAGAAATTTGCATGGTGAGTAAGCTGTATGTGGCCAGGTTTCACCACGTGCTTGATGCACCAGTTTGAGATGGTATGTTAATAAGCAAACCTGGGGATTATTTCTTATGACCTAGCTAAGCATCAGGCAGTACGTTTTAGTAATATCGCACTCGCAGAAGCGACCCGATAAATGATGAACGTACTGCAAAACAGAACTGGCAACACACAGGGGATACAGTTTTCTTGATGTAGTAGGAGCAGAGTGTGGAATAATGAACCCTGCAAGGGAAAAGAGAGGGGAAAAAAGCCTTGAATTACCGCATGCAAGTTCTACTGGAAAAGATTCGAGTGGAGCACTGTTTGTCATCTGTCTGCCTGAAGCTTTGCTCTGCAGGTGAATTCCCATTGCGTGGGACATCAACTGAGGCAAGCCTGGGAACTGCTGTTTCTCCTGCGTCACTGCAATGGAAGCTTTGATTTTAGAGACTACTAGTCACTGATATACGTTCAATTGCTGGAAGAGAACTAGGGCCTGCGATTGGTAGCAGACAGCTGGAGCTATGCATGAGCGCCCCTATGTGTGGAACAAGTACCAGAGATGCCCTCCCATTCTGCCTATCTTGTAACAACTTTTTTTTTTTTTTTAATTTGCAGCCTGCAAAAAAGAAACAACGAGCACAAGTCATAGAGTTCTTCATCGATGTGGCCAGAGAGTGTTTTAACATAGGGAATTTTAATTCGCTGATGGCAATCATTTGTAAGTACTACTTCTCAACAGAGCTCTCCATCATCTGTCATGGACAAAAAGGGAAAATCTGATTCACGCTCATTGTTCTTTTTTGTTCTTCCTTCCTTATAGCTGGAATGAACATGAGTCCAGTTTCCAGGCTAAAGAAGACTTGGTCAAAAGTCAAAACAGCCAAATTTTTTATTCTTGAGGTAAAAGCCAACCAAACAGAAAACTTTAGATTTTTTTTTTTGTTTGTGAATTTTCACATTGTTAGTAAAATATAAGATGCTTGTAGACATGTTTCACAGGCAGAGGGCCAGATTCTGGCTGCAGATGCCTATCAGGTAGTGAGGAAAGCTACTGATATGCAAAGGGGAATCAGAGCACTCAAGCTTATAGCAAAAAAAGTGATAAACAGTTCAGAAACTAAAAGAAAATGAAGAATGGCTTGGGGAAGACAGGTCAGAAACAGGTGTATTCTACAGAAACTATATTACAAAGGGAACATTTACAGCACTGATTCTGCCTTGCAATATGCTATCTTGGTCATGGATGCAACAGTGAATGCAAAGCTCCCAAGCTTTACCTTGGACAGAAAAGAAGACCAAAAGGGATGCATGATGTTGGGAGTTTGCTAGCTATGTGAAGGTACAGCTATGTGGTACTGCTAGTGACTGACCCTCCTTCCTCCTGGAATTTGGCTTGCTGTCAGCAGAGGTTAGAGGGCATATTTTTGCACCGCCTATTCAAAGAATTCGATCAGGTTGGTTGCATTTTGTTATTGAGGGAACCAGAATTAGGCATGTGTGAAGTGTGCAGTCTTCCTGTAGTCCAGGTACATCACCTCATTCTACAAATAAATTTTTCTCCAAATAAAAGCTTAATCATTTATTAGTATAAATCAAAGGTACAAACAGCCATGGCCTGTGCCTCTAGAGCTGTCGTTGTATCTATGGATCACATCTGTTTTTCGCATGTGGTTGTATTTTATATTAACATATAAAATGTTATATGTTATATTTGCAGGCCATATTAACATGTGGCCTGCAAAAATGCAGGCTAGGCTCTGTTAGGGTTTGGAAAGCTATGGGTAAAGCCGTCTTTGGAGGACGTAGTTTGCTTTCTAACCAAAGTGTCTTTTGCTGTTCTAGCACCAGATGGACCCTACTGGTAACTTCTATAACTACAGGACGGCACTGCGAGGGGCTGCTCACAGATCCCTCACTGCCCACAGCAACAGGGAGAAGGTAGGTGTGACCACAGCTCCTGGCCCTCCAAATAGACGGGAGGGGAGTGTCGCTGCTGGGGTCAACAATTCAAGCACTTGAAGCAATTGAAGCACAAGTGCTTTGCATGAACAGCTCTCCTTCTGCGGGGCCAAGGCTGGTGCATTGCTGAATCCGATCAGAAATGTAAATTGGCAGCCGAGGGGAGTCTGAAATGGATCACAGAGCTTTTGTGGACTTGCTGCTCAGACACTGGGGAGCGAGGCGGGGGGACACACAGCAGGGAGGACTTTTTTGGTGCAGGCGTCCCTTGAACGTTCAGTTTATCTAGATTGATAAACCAAAAGGTTCCAGGTGGAAGATGTATTCCAGACTAAAATGACTTTTATTTTGGTATGGAACATCAACCTGGCAGGCCTGGGTGGAAGGGTGATTTTGTTACTGCTGTGCCATCCAGCATCTCTGTGCCTCTATATCTCTGTTTGTCTCATTTTATTTGGTTGTTGCCATCTTGCTGAGCAAGAACTGAAGTGTTTTATCAGTGTTTGTGGCAAATATGTGTCTTTCTGAGATATCTCTGATATGGCAATAGATCGGATTGATCAGATCTTGGTGCAGAATCCTGCTGGTTTGCGTCCTGATGTTTCTTGTTCATTTTCTTCTTTATTTCTTCATCCAGTTCTCTTTTTTTTTCTTTTATGAAAGTGAGTTTGTTTTTAACGTTGCAACTGCATGTAGCTGTAAATGGGTACATGCACAGAACAAAACTAAGGTAAAGTAGAAAAGCTGCATCCGCAAGCATAATATGGAATTGAACATTCATTCGCTAGAGGAGCCAGGCCAGGTGCTGATCTCACACCACTGTAAATTTGATGTAAATCCATTGAAGTGAATGGAAACTCACAGCGTTACAGCAAAATGAGATCAGAATCTGGTCACGGGCTGACTCAGCTCCGGTGGGAGTGCACGGAGTTGATCTGGAAAGCTCTTTTCTAGGCGAAGAGGAGACGATGGCTTGGATGCTTACGAGCAGCGGAGAAAGTCTTTTAACTCTCACATGCTGCAGCAGGGACTTGTCATTCTGAGACGCTTCTGCAATCTAGTTCTTCTGTGACAATCCCATATTTGAGCCAGCTGCTTTATTGTTTGATTTAATTTCCTGTGGAAGTTAGCAATCTCTGTCATTTCTCTACCCTTAGTTAGTTAAGGCTAAGGGCAAAGAGGTTACTAGATTGAAAGGAATCTATTCTACATAAAAAGCCCATGTTCTGTTTCCTTTGTGTACATAACATATTAGCTTAAGAACATGTTCAAACGTATGACTTAGTACCTAATCATGCTGGGTATATTACAGTGCTAGATACAGCAGATCCTGTCGTTCATGCTTTAGGAATTAAGGAATTTTGTTGCTTATTATAAGCAAGATTCCTACTTGTTTATTTTACTGAAATGGATAAAATTGTAAAAACATGATCACTTTTTTGATATAAATTGTTACCTTGTTTCGTGACAAGCTATTAGCAAAGCGTACCTTTTGAAGTAAAATATTTATCTGCAAACTGGATGAGGCTTATAACAGTTTGAGATCCCAGCCCTCTCCATCCCCTTCTCGACAAGCGGCCGCCGCAAAGCGCGTGTGATGGCTGCAGGGCCCCTCCACTCGTGGGAGAAGGCGCGTGCTTGGGAGGGAGCGCTCGTCGCAGACCGACAGGCTGCCTTGCAGGAAGGCAAACTGCTTTTAGCTTGGAGGAGCTAATATTTAACTGGCAGCTTCACCAGAAATGTTACTTCCTTTTTTCCTTGGGGCTGCTACCTGGGCCGCGGAGTTTTGTACAGCGCTTAAACAGACGCACAGCTTGGGGGCTAAATGACATCCTCAGGGAGAGACGGTGAACTAGCAGCGCTCGGGCACCACCGCAGTCCAGCCTTTCTCCCTGTGTGTAAATGGCACAGGTAGGATAGTTGTGTTCGCTCAGGAGCAGACTTCTAGGAAGGCATTGCCGTGCAGCTCTCCGAGCTGCGAGATGCAATACAGCAGCAGCAATAAACCTACCATAGGGCAGAGTGAGAGAACTGGTAAGGAAAAAGGGTTATGTTTCATGCAGAATTCAGAGGGCTGTATTTGGTGGGAATTAAGTCTGGTTTTATCTATGTAGTCAGCTGACCTGTGTCATCCCCAAAATTAAGTCATTCCACGGGGAAACACCGCACTGTGCTAATGCCGTTTCTCTGAATGGCTTTGAAACGTTGGGAGCAGGTACAGTGCAGTAGTGTGTCTCGTTGCTGCCTGATGCTATGGAGAAGAACATGTCTGCTCTCGTTAGCTTCCTTCGTTCTGCGGGAGGCAATTGTCCTTTGGCGTGCGGGGAGTTGGGTGGTTTGGGGAGGGGAATCAGAAGGGAGTAAAATATGAGTTTCTGGCATTAGCCCAGATTTTATGCTAGCAAAGTGCCTGGATTAAAGCCAGCATTAAAGTGCAGCTATGTCCATTTTCGTTGCTTTTACTACAGGAATTTGGAAAACAAAACAGGCAGGCTGACATACCTTTAGTGGGGAAATAAATGGGGAGCCAAAGACAGAAATCCCATGGAAATGTGTGCGGAGAATGGTGTCCTAGGGAATGCCTTTGCTGCCTTTTGGATGCAGATGGGAACAAGCCCTACCCACACTCTGAGCTGACTGGTGGCTTTGTAGCTGTATTAGCATGGCATGGAGCCCACGTTAATATACCTTCCCCCTCAGCAAGGCTTTTAGTTTATGTTTAGTGCCACTAACGATGGTGACCTAGCTCCTAGGCAGCGTGGAGCAGGGCAGAACAAGCTCACATCTGCCTGCAGAAAAATATTAGGCAGAACCTGGCAGCAGCTCCTAGCTGGTGATCATTATCTGGCTTCAGCTCTCTGTGAGTATCTTTCCGCTTTGTAAGACAGCTGCCGTAATGGTTACTGAGTGTCATCATTTTTGGTAGAAAACAAACCATATGCTGAATTACATTCCTTACCTCAGGTTGATTCATCTAGTTTGGATGATACAAAAATGGGCCCTGAAACACATTTGGCTTAGCTTGTGACCAGAAATCACCCCACCTGACTCTGACAGGAGAGCTCAGCACTTGGTAGGGTTAGGTCTCAAAATACTGAGTTTGCTTTGTCCCCATTTCTTTATTATACCAGTAAGGGGTACCAGGACAATGCCAGAGGCTCCTGGAGTGTCAGTCCAGCCTTCTTATGGCTGTTGTACTGACATTAGAGAGTTTGTCTATGGCTGTCCCATAAAAAAGCTGGCAGAAATGCAAATCTTTAGCAGTTCCCTGCATGTGGTATTTTAGCTGAAGGAGAAGCTGGCTTCCATTTTCACAGGAAAAGTAGGCAGTGGCTTGGAGAGGCCTTCCCTCAATTAGTTTTTTAGTGTCTGTGAGTTGCTTGCGCTTGCTGTTGCATCACGAAGGCCACAGACTGGAAAATAACAGCTGCCGCCCTGTTCTAGGTCCATTTCAGATACCGTTTCAGCTGACGTTCAGCGTGAGATGCAATAACTGTAGGACATTAAGTACTTAACTGAACAATTGCTTTGTTGTCACCAGCTCCCTTGGCCAGCCTTGCGTGCCGTGAAGGCACTTGAACTTTGGTGCACACTTAACTAGCTACAGTTCAGTTAATTTACAAATAGGCCAGCAGAAACATTTGGAAAACTCTGCCATGCGATGCACTTTCCTATCTGTTCATGGTGATTAAGTCCATGCTTACTGGCCTAAAAGACAGGCATGGCTGCTGCAGAAAAATGCTCAGAGATGGGTGCTCAAACCTTCCACCTGGCCTTTTTCTGTCACAGTACCGCTGCAGAGGAGTCATGAAGACTCAGGTCTGAACATCGGGTCCCAGAGCCCTTTCTAGAGGTCAGCGTTGTCATGGGCTGGTTCTTCACGTTCTCGTAACTCAGAACTCTGTCATGAGAGGGCTTGGAGGAAGTCAGCTGTGTCCTGGCGCTCTGCTGAACTACTGGGGATGCACTTCAGGAGCTCGGCCACTTCTTTATGCTGTAGCGCATCTAGCATTGAATTTATCCCTGCTGCAACTCTGTTAAAAATTTCAAGAGTTTTACCTATAGCAAATCAAGATCTGACTCTGATAGGTTAGAGAGAAGGATCACTAATGTATGCCAGTTTGCCCTGGATGATGCCTAGGGCTTAGTTTGAGTGCTACAAAGATCTCTCTGCCTACTCTTGGCACTTTCTTTTCAATATAAAGTGTATTTTCAATCCCACCCTCTACAGGTTAATTTGGAGAAGCCGGTTATACTAAACAGGCACTACAAAGGCAGTTTCACCCCTCAAGAGAAAGCCATGAATGGAGCTGTTGAAAATGCAGCTGCTCCTGGTGATAAACTGTGTCTGTAGAGAAGTCCTGGGCCACCAAATTTTATTATTCCATCTTTCCTTGTTCTGAGACAGTAGTGGTCACCTAATTGCATCTATGCTAGGTGTTTCCCCTCTTGCTGTTCTTTGGTTCCTAACTGTCTTTAAACTGCTTGATTTGTCTATTCAACATCTTTACTGATAAAGACCCCAACAGAGAGAGGAAAGGTCTGCAGTTTAATTTTGTTCTTTCTATGCTCAGTGTTACTAATGATATACTGAGAGTTAAGAAACTGGGTCATTGGTATTTTCTTAGTCATCTTACTCTGCCACTGTGCTCGGAGCCTATTTATTCCAGAGGACAGTCATCTGCTGATTGGTGAAGTTGTCTCTGTACCCTACTGCCCTTTTGCCTGCCTATCACTATACTGCTTTTTAAGTGCACAGCACACTGAAAAGTTAGTATTTCTTTTTTTTTCTCCTCTCTCCTGATTGAGCTCTTCTTTCATGCAGAGAAAATAGTGAGTGGGAAAGATAATAGTTATGCCATTTCTCTTCACAGATTGTGATCCCGTTCTTCAGCCTATTGATCAAAGACATTTATTTTTTGAATGAAGGATGTGCTAATCGCCTTCCAAATGGACATGTCAACTTTGAAGTAAGTGCTGAAAAATGTTTTTTTCCATCCCATTCTGATAGCACTAAGACAACTTGCCTGTAATTTCAGTGCAGACTGACAAAGACTGGATATGCCAAAACAGGCAGTCTTGAGTGACTGTGCTTGAAGGTTAAACCAATCCCAGAATGTCTTAAAAAAAAACCCATATATTTTATATAAACACTGCAAGCAGATCAAAAACCAAACTGAGGGGTTTTCCAATGTTGAATGAATGGCAGATCCTAACTTGCTTCATGTGGGTTGGCTGATAGAAACGTAGTGTCAGCAGTATATATGATTATACATAATGGCTTGGAGGAGGAGATGAGTTTTTCAGAAAACAAGAAAAACTGTTTTCTCTATATACACAAATAAACAAGTCAATATAAAATGCTTCATACTTTATTTTATCTGCCTTTTTAGCACTTGCTCATTTTTTTATAAAGATAGAAATCAGTTGTCATCGTTAGAGAAAAATTAGAATGTGAGCTGACTTTATATATAGAACACAGAGTCACGGTATTCATGAGTTAGAAGTCATGCTGTTGGTGTAAGAATCAGTGTGTGTTATCTCCTGCCTGTAAGTTTTACATGAAACGATTTCCATTAACTCCACTAGAAGGACTTACGTTCTCCTTGCTGCCCCGGCACTAGGTCGTAATAGTCATGTATCCTACGTAATCCCAGGTCTGTGCCAGAGAGGGTGGTTTTACACTAGTGCTATTTTTTGCTAACTGCAGTGTGCAGGCACTCAGACTTTTTATATCGCATTGTACACTGCAAGTGCTACCTTCTTGTATTCCTGTGGAAGGACAGGGACAAGGTACTTCCAAAAGAACTGCCCAGTGTCAATGAGAAAACAGTTCTTCAGCTCTCAGATTTTTTGGAAATCATTTCTAGAGTATATTTTTTGTTTGTTACATTAAATTTCTCCTCTAGTTATTGGCATTGTGAGTTAGTGAGTAATGCACAGGATACGGAGCTCGGAATCCCCTTAAATTCTATCAGAACCCTTCTGCCACGCATGTTTTCTGTTTGAAGGCGAGGAGTGGCAAGAAGTTGGAGTCACTCTGCTTTCTGTATGTATATTAAGTTCTGCTCCTTCCTGTTCCATCAAAGTTTATGCCCTCTGTTCTCAAGTTCATATGTGTAACCCATAACTTGTTCATGGATGCGTTTTTATTCAAGTACTGCGACTGCCTGTAAGGAGAAATGCAGCACACCCTTTCCTGTCTCATTCTTCTGTAAAAGAACTGGGAAAATGCACCCACCTAAAACCATACAAGGCTGCTTTTCCCTAATGTCCGTGTGGCTGGCATGGGGGATCCTGATCTGCTCAGATGCAGATTTAGTGACCTAATCTCCCTGTAACTTGATAAATGTTTTTATGTTTACAGAAATTTCTGGAACTGGCTAAGCAAGTAGGAGAATTTATAACCTGGAAGCAAGTGGAATGTCCCTTTGAACAGGACCCTAACATCATCCACTACTTGCACACTGCTCCCATTTTTACTGAGGATGGTAAGACCCTGTACAAACACTGATCACGGAAAATATGTCTCTTCATCACTGCTCATTAACACCCTGACCCATGCTCTGGTGATCTCTGTCACTGACCAGTCTCAGTTCGTCTCTAGCTTTCATGTCTTGCAGCTTGTTTGTCCCCTGTCTGTCAATATGCAAATACTGCCTTCTAGCTCATGAAGTTGCTGGCTGGTTGCTTTTTTCTTGTTCATAACTCCTCTATGAGGCACTGTCTAGTAAGTTGCTGTGATGGCCCTTTTTTTTGTAGTCAAGCAAAGAGGCCACACAACCATGTCACGGATTGCTATGGATGTCGCTTGTCCTCTCACAAAACTCATTCTGTGATTGATGGAGCCAAGACTGCTCTCTTCTGCAAATGAACACTGTCATCTCTTCAACGAACAGAGCTCAGGGCAGTGGTAGTCCAGCTGATCCCCTTCACAGCAGCAAAGAAATGTTATCTACAGCAAATAATTTTTAAGAAAAATCTTTTCTAGTTATTAATTTGAACTGTAGCTAATGAAAAGCCCTGTTTCTGAAATAATAAGAAAAAGACAATCAGAGAAATTATCTGTCCTCTTTTCTGTTTCAGTTTGATATCCAGCATGTCAGACTGTGCCATTTCGTATGGGTTGGTGTCAGTTGCCTCTTGGTATATTGGGTCACACAGAAATTATCTAAAGCTATGCTCCCATAAGCTAAACTGGTGCTGGATTTATTTTTCCTTTAGATTCTATAGGCAGTTTTCTGTACCCATTCAAGTTAATCCGACCAGAGAGATTTTATTTCATAGACCACTTCAGAAGACAACATGCAGTCTCAAAAATCCTGCCTAAATCCCAATGACTGCCAAAATGGAATAATTAATGTGATTAAAGTACTATGTATCGAAAGGAGACAGGCCGAGGCGTTTGTTCTGTATTTAGGCTCTTGAAGAGCAGACTGCGAAAGTCAGGGGCATCTCCGAAGTGGTGTTTGCAGATTCTCTCTCCCTCATGCTCCACTATATTTGTACCGCTTTCATGAGAAGCGCTCTGCAGAAGGCACAATTCTCCTGTTACCCGGGGGAAGAGCAGTTCAGAAAGATCTGCCCTGAATAAAAATTGGAGAACATACTGAAGAGAGATGCAGCGCTGTTATGCAAAATACAGCTGTGCTATGCTAGTCACAACGTGGAGAAATAGCAGGCCAACTCTTAAATATTAAAATGCTCTTGAATTATAGCACAGATTTGAATACTGAGTACTGATTCTGGCATTAAAGAGGAAAGCATAACTAAACAATCAAATGAGGAAATGTGTGTGAACACAAATCACAACCTACTTTTTTTAAAAGTCTGTAAAGACAGTGAGATGTTAAAGCACTGCCAGCTTGTGCAGAGGAGACTCTACATCCTAGACGTATTTTGGCACCATGAAATGCAGCATACAGTGCAAAGTTTTTCAGGAAAAAAACAAACAAACAAAACTATTTTCTATTCCTGTGTTCCAGTTCTGGCTTCTGTAACTCATTCTTATCTTGAGGGGTGATTTGTGTCCTTTTTACGATACCGTGTCCCTTAAAGCCTTGGAAAGATTGCTGAGGAAGATTAAATTGTGTTAAGTGACAGGAATATCTTTAATGTAAAAGAGTTTGTTTAGCTGTCAGCTCGCTCTCTCCCTTTTTTTTAAGGTTCTGATAACACCTCTGGTAGCAGTATTGTGATGGAATAAATTAGGTGCAGATCTCTGTATTCAAAACCAGAGACCGTTTAACTGTTTGATATTGTTGTAACAAATTCATCTTTAACTCTGAGCTCATTTACTGTTCCATCAAGATTAGCATAACGGATTTCGAAAGGCAGAAATGTTTTGAACGTGAGAGTCCTACTGACCAGCAGCTACCCGAGGAACCGCGAAGTTTTAAAAAGTTCAATTTATTGTGTGGTACAGTGGCAAGAAGAGACCAAATGCATAGGAGACCTACAAGACAGCAAACAGATAGGGGGTTACTGCTGCTGTTGAAATAACACATCTTTATCTTCTCCAGGTTTGTACCTGGCTTCCTATGAAAGTGAAAGTCCAGAAAACCAGACTGAAAAAGACAGGTGGAAATCCTTAAGGTAACCACTCATTTTATCAGCTCGTTTCTAAAGTACCTTCAAAGTGCTGCACTGACAGTCAAGGAATCTCTTAACTGGGCCTGAAGCCTGTAAAGTGCTATCACTTAAAATGTGACCTCTGATGGAGGTCTTTTCAATTTATAACTAATCTTCAGAGCTGGGGCTGCACTCACAAAATCTAATCTTAATCTCAAGTTATCGACCATTTCAAGAAAACCGTGCACTAGTGCATTTTGGCAATTCTCTTCCGGTGCAAAAGAGGCCTGGTGTAGATGAAAAATGTCCTATGTTAATTGGATCTTCCCACCGTTTATATGTCTTATAATGGCACCATAAAGTGGTTTGATGTAAACGAAAATCCAAAGAGAGTCAAAAATAAAAGCAGTGATTTAAAAAAAAATGTTACAGTTGCTTCCTTATCATTGTTCTTATGTTTTAAATTTGCAGATCCACTATTTTAGGAAAGACTTGAAGACTAAGAGGTTATTGCAGTAGGTCAAGGAAAAAAAAAATCTGTAAACATTTTGCACTACTGATTCCAAAGATGCCTGTTTGGGATTTAGACAGTTTCTTTTGTTTGGGTTTTTGTTGGTTTTTTGACTGCCTAACATGATGGGTGAACTGGATTCATCCGTTGAAATCAACAGAACTCTGTGCACAATAATGCTTTTCTATGAGACAGAGGAAGGACAGACTATTTGTGGCTGTGCCCGAACTGCATCAGGATCACTATAACTTTTGCCTCTGAAGGAAAACAAGAAAACCAGGAACATGGAGATCCATGGTACTGCAAAAGAGAATGAAAAAGTATTTAAAAACAAAAAAAGGGCAAAAAATATACACGCTTATTTCAGAAGCAGGTGCTTCAGATAGCAGCTCTTTAAACCCTCTGAGGATTATAAAATTAAATCAGACACAGCAGCAATCTGGTTAATTGCTGAATGAAGAAAGAAGGACTTAATCTTACATCAGCAGTCCCCCAGCCTTGTTGAACAATGCGCTGACTGCAACAAGCATAAGCTTCCAGCGGATGAAAACTCATATCACTCGCTCATATTTATGTGTATATATATAATATATATAAAAAATATATACACACAACACATAAAGATCTCATCAGCATGGGAGAGTCATACAAATCCCATGCATTTTTACAGAGAACAAGTTGAAGTGTGACAATTGCTTAGTCGTTCTTCCCACCACTGTTGTTGCTTTTCTTACTGTGAATCTTGGCAGATTTGAGGAGGGCACAGAGTGCAGATGGTATTGCTTAGAGATCCCCCTACCACATCTAAAGCTGAAGAAGAAAATGGCTCCAGACTCAGCTCACCTCTAATTAATATATATATGTAGCGTCTTCCCTAATTTGGTTGATGCAAAGATATGTGTTCTTTAGAGGGCTTTATCACCCTGAAAGAAAAAGAAATTGCATTGTCGGGTAAAAAAGTCTATCAGGATCCAGTTAATAATACAGTCCTGTTTATTTTGCAACATGATGCTAGAGGATAGGAAGGGGGAGGTAATAGCTCTAAATTTGGGAACTACGTGGTATGCTTTAAAAGAGACAAAGGGTACCATTCTAGAGACCAATGCACTAAGGTAAAGAATGTGTCCTTCATGAGCAGATAACCATTTTTTCCGTTATTTTTAGCGTCTAAGTCATGTTCACCGCTTCCTTACAGATAATATGAAGTAGGAACTATGTCTGTGTTTATACTTGTACAATGGTCGTGGTGCTATCTTAACACATATATTAAATTATAATGGACTATATGGATATTAGATTCAAAACTAAGCCCTAACAGTAGACTAATTGTTTGTATGTGGAAGGACTGCTCCCACCTGCCCTAGAAAAGACCACCAAAAGCTTAAGTGAAACCTAATACCATGTGATACTGAACTCAGCATTTTATTAATGACTTGATACTCGCCTTTCAGATGTTCCAGTCTTTCTTTGTCTGCAAGGGAAGACACAACCCTTTCTTTGAAATTAGTTATAGCTTTATTTCAATAGAGACTAAGTCCAAACAGCTATAGGGTATTGAAAAGTGAAGCTAATCAGAAAACTTAGCTGTGTTGGCCTATGCATTTAGCCAGAAAACTGAGAGTGTTCCTTCCCGCTGCCAGGCCTCACAACAGTCTTCTGTGCCTGAGTGAGTTGTTGAAATATGTGGTAATAGTGAGCCAGTGTTTGAGGACAGCTTGGACTACTGAGGTGATCCAGGGTACAGCTGCCTGAGACGCGCTCTGTGTGAAATACTAAAGCTTGGTAGTGTCTGTAATGCAGTTCTTCTGTTGGGTTTTGATCTGTGAAGGCCTGTGCAGTCTGGATCATGGCCACCTGGAATCTGCTGCTCTTCCAGCTGCGAGTTCTGCCGTTTGAGATGAGCAGGACTACTTCTAGATGTGCATGCATAGGGGCTTGAGGCAGAGCTTCCATTCTCCTTTTCATATAAGTCTACTGGAGCATGAGTTCAAGCCAAGGGAACATAAGAATGTCATTCATTAACTTCAGCCTTTGTATGGAAGAACTAAGTGTAAGGATGGTACATCATTGTCCCAGCCAAGGAGCAAGTATTCTGGTGATATTATCGATATGTTGTTTGTTAAATTTTGTACATGAGCGGAGAGCTATACAGAGAAATGTACACACATTGCCATTCCTTAAGGCAGGACCATTTCCAAAATGATGCCATTAAAAGCCTGTTAAATTCCAACCAAATCCAGAGGCAATAACCATAAACATAGCTATAACAATGCTAAGGCTTGTGTGTGTCATTTTTTTCCTTAGTTTAAATGGTCATTTTTTCTTAATGTCTACACCTTTTTAACTGGCACAGTGTGACAGCATGGTGGAAATGGCTTTTATGCTTTTTTATTTATCTGAAATCTAATGTAGGTAGATGAGTCCTTCCTTAAAAACTGCTTTTTAAAATACAAATCCTCACTCCCTTTCTAAAGAGCCAAAGGAGGCTAGGACAGCTGAGACCGTAACACCCGGAACATGAATTCAAATGTGATTTCCTATGATAATACTTTACATTCTTTGGCACCTTCCGTGAATTCATACGATTTTGTAAGTATGATTTAAATTAGATGTCATAAAGTTTTGTCATTGTTGCAAACTGAACCACTTTCATACTCCAAAACTCTCAAACCTCTGCTAAAAAAGGGAGCATAAGAGTTAGATTTACAGAGGTATTAAGGGCTTAGTGGGACTTTCAAAAGCACCAAATTATCTTTAAGCCTTTATGTAGTTACACATTTAAATAGACTTGTGCCGAACACCCTTATCTCTCAGTGACTACTTAGGCAATCATTGCTTTATAGAGGTATGTGGCATACTGCCCCTTAGTATTTGATCTTCAGAGATGACAACTGCACCTTGCAAGATGACTTGGAGATGAATGCACGAAGTAGCTTAAAGTGAGAAGACAGTGCCTTCTAAAATCAGGCGTTAGGAATCATTGCTTGTCTGTATATAATTCAGTGGCCAAAATCCCATTGATTTAAACAGAAACAAGGTCAAGCCTTAAATTACAGCTGTCAGTTTCATTTGTAATTCATATCTGGCCTAACTAGACAGTACAACTCCAGAAGACCGGAGAGCAGTTAGAGCCTTGCTTCACCAGCAGCTTTAACAAAGTGCAAATACAACTGAAAACAAAGGAAGACAATTTGGGGAATGGATTTATTCTAACAGTCTTATGTTAACATTACGCAAGATACAAAGTGATTAAAAAAGACACCTCCAATAATTAACTTTTCTCTTGCTAGTAACATGAAAAGAGCTCTTATTATGTATAAAAGAAAGCAGTATCACTTAAGACCAAGCATTAGCCACTGTAAGCCATATAGTCATTAGACTAACATCTAGACAGCTTACTGATGGTAATGTCACGGCTTTCTAACTCCACTGTTTTCGGTGGATTTGCCTCCTTGACAACTGCTCGAGCTAATGCTATACAGAGAACAGAGCAAAACTACCGCTATAGTTTAGCAGTGTTAGTGTCAAAACCCTAACCTAGTAAAACGTGACTGTGTAATACGGAGCCTTCCAGATGTATTAACATAACTTCTGCGCACATGGCAATATTTAACAGAAAACCAAATACCGCTTCTTCTGCACCTCCTCTAGTGTGATCAGAGGAGTTGCAAAAGCCATGCTTTTTTATTTGTTAAGGATGCCATTCTGCAGCACAGGGCTAGATCCAAAGCCCAGTGAAAAATAATGATGAAACTCTTGTGCCTTCAGCTTGGGTTGAAGTCAGTAGGTGAACTTGCTCGATGCCTTTCAAAAGATGCATAATCTGAAAAGCATGCTCTCAGTTTTACATCAGCATCAATCACGTGACCTAATTAAAGGTGGATGGATGATTAAGTACAGGTCTACCAGGTGTGGCTTGACTGACATGCAGGCTGATCTCCAGATCAGATTTCTTTTCATACTGGCAAAAACCCTTGAAGTGAGCCTAGCGCACAGAAACCCCGTGTATCTGAGCGCACTGAGATCAGCATATCGTTATCCCTGTCTTAGGCAGGTAACACACTATTGTCAGACAGCTGGCTAGGAGCTCCCTGCATGGATGGAGGATGTACAGACAGGGGAGAACTGTGCTCCCAACCACTTCTGAGACTGTGCTGTAACAAAGTGTGGACACAGCTGCTAAGGCACTTCAAACAACTTAAATATAGAGCTATTTTTCTCAGCTTGAAAATATTTTATTCATGTGATCACTCACTGGTGATAAGATAATCACCTACTTAAAATGAAGCCTGTCCCTTACTGATACCCTGGTTACTTTATCATGTTTTCTTGCAATGGTTTTTGAGCCTTTTTTTAAAGCATGTGAGAACTGGTTTGCACGTGACTGTAAATCCAGGTTAGGACAGAACTCAGATTACTGAATATGTAGTTGCAGTTGTTAAAAAGAGTATCTGTTAGTTAGGCATATCAGCGTAAAAATATTACACAGTTAATATTATCTGGCCTAACACTGACTGTGTTCCACAGAGAGAGAGAGAGAGAGATTGATCCGAAGCACGGTGACATGCTAGAGGAAAGACTCCAATTGGTTTTGACAGGCTCTGGAGCAGTCCAGCAACTAATAACTGTAGAACAGTTTGAAGTTATTCATAGGGATTAAATTACATTGGCAACTGGTATAGTCCTTTCTTTTGAGGCAGGTGCAACTCTCAGATGGGCAGGTGCACTTCCCAGGGTGAAAATTCAGCCTTGGCAAAAGCTTTTTTTAACATTGTTGAAATTTCAGCAGCAAATTGAAAGACTACATTTGGTGCAGTGAATTAAATCATGTGCCTGAGAGCAGCATTTGACCTTCAAGTTTTAAGACTTTTTTTCCTCTTTTTAGACTGGTAGAAAGTAGCCTTACTGTCTCAGGAGCGTCCTTCAGTGGAAATTAAACCCCTCTTGATTTTGAACTGATCAGTTCCATTGTAATCACAGAATGGGATTAGGGAGTGACAAGGAAACATGGAAGAGGCCTTGTCAGTGCTCAGAGGCTCAACTGGGGACCAAAAACTTCCTTTCCTTCTGTGCTAGGGTTATCTCTTGAGTGAAATTACCTCAGTAGTTGCTGCAGGGCATTACTGAATGTGACTGGGTAACAAGACGGAAATAGCTGGTGTCTGTGTGGCAGCACTTATACTAACATGGGGATGCAGAGATTAGATGATCCTGCACAAAGCTGACATGCAAATTCATGTCTGAGCCTGGTCCCTTAGGTTGCCTAAGCTGGGACGCATCCCTTTTGAAAGGCAGGAAGTTCTGGAAGTTCACCTGAGGCAGAGCGCGCTTCTTCCTCCATGCAAAAGAATGATTATGAGAAAATTCTTTGAACTAAAAGGGGTTCTTCCAAAGGACTTGAAAGAGTGGAGGCTTTTTTACTTAGTTGACAGAGATTGTAAGATCTAAGCAGCAAGGAAAAATAAGTACTTAAAAAAAAAAAGGAAAAATATCTTGATGGTTGTTAACATTCATATTTCACAGCATGGCAGCAGAATGGAGCAAGATACCTGTGCGTACGCTGTTCCCATTAATATCAATGGCAGCTAGGAAGACCAAGCCAGGAGAAAACACGGTGAAATACTGATGCAGAAAGCTGTATCAATACTTTGCGTTAGCGCTGGGTATGTTGGAAAGAAAGCACACTGCCTTAAAGTGTGTCTCTTTCTATGCAGCTTTGTTAGCTGCGCTGCAGAAAGCCAGTCTCCGAGATGAGCAAATGCGCCAGCAAGCAGGTTACCTTTTTTTTTTTATGGAACCAATCTGGAGGCTATTCCCTTTTGCATTTCTTTATTTTACTTTTCTTTTAAAAATAGAGCTCTTACCTATTTTCAGATATGCAAAAAAATACTGAATACAGTAAGTTCATGCTGGTAGAAGGCATCACGTCTTGCACTTTTATACATTATACAAGAGGTATATTAGAAGCTAATAGCTTGTATGAGTCATGCACTCTACACAGGTGCAAGATACTGAAACTCAAGCTATAACCTCAGTTACTGAAAAAAGCTGAGGACGAGTAACTCCTGTCTACATCCTCTGCCTTGCACTGTGGCCAGACTCAGACTGCAATGCTGTAAATTCAGACTGGCTTAGGCTGCTCTCTCTCCCCTCAATGTCCTTCTCTCCACAGAGGTGGTATTTTCCTCCATAAACAGCTCTTGCAAAATGCCATGGGGACATTTTTCAAGTTCTCTGCCACATGCCGGCTCTATAATCATACCCCAGAGCTGTCAGAATAGAATATAAGGAGTCCTTCCCCTTTCATTCCTGTGGCCCTCACACTGCCAGCCCAGCCTAATGTTGCAATAGAGCAATGTTCCCAGGCCTTCTTGAATGCAGAAGGCTATAAAGTTCAGAGCTCAGAATTCCTGTAAGTAAAATATCTGGACAGGAAACTCCCTCCTAAAATGTGCACAGCCATTTTAATGGATTTTTGTCCAGAAAATTCCGGAATGCAGGTTCCTTCCAGAAAAAATGACTTCCTCAGTGAACTGTAACTGGTCAGTATTACATCACTGCTTTAATTACTTAATTATGCTTCTATAATCCCAGTCTTTTTGAAATAACTAAGCATGTGATGGTTCCTTGATGCTTGGCACACAAGTAAACACAGTTGAGAAAACTGGGGGCTATAGCCTGAACAGCTGACATCATAGGTATTTCCAGAGCAGCCCAAGATGGGTTACCACTTTCCGTATGTTCTTGCCTTGAACTAGAGGGAATTGTTTCAATAGAATCCTCCTTATTCTTAAAACTTAGGGAAAGATAACAAGCACGCAGCTATTAAATTTAAGCATTTCAAGATATGATTCTTACAAATGTGCAATTATTTCCCTTAGGAGCCAGTCTGTAAAAAGAAATAAAAGTGCTGGTACGCAACACTGATGGAAAATAAATTGGCTTCTAGGTTTCAGAACTCTTGACTCTTACCAAGTATTCATCAGTTTATAAAGGTGAGAAATAACATTTTAAGATTTTTTGCACTTTTAGCAAGTTCTATGAAATGTGACAGTAGCAGCTGTCTTATATGCAAACTCCAAAAAACATATTACTGAAACATTGATTCGCAGACCTAAAAGCATAGAGTAAAAATTGTTTAGAAAAATTGGAACCGAATTATAAGTGTTTTGTAAAGCATGAGTCAAGATGAGAAATAAAAGAAATATGGATTTAAAGACTGGTAGACACTGATCACATGAGTCTTAGTAATGAGGGGCTTTGCTTTTCCTATATTCTTTTTCTTTAAATTAAGCTATTTTATATTATGAATAGCATTTTCAGGACAAATTAAAATCACTACACCATCCATAATACTCAAAACACACAGCTTTGTTTAATTAGAAGTCCTCAAACAAATATTGACCCTTTACTAATTGCACAGGCAGAAAACAGTAAGGTTACTTGAAAGTGGCTATTATGATTTTGTGACTGTACATAGAACTTGCAAAATGTTAATGGTAACATGCATACTGTACCCCGCATAAACACTGCAAGAATAGCATGGTCATTGTTACGCTTTATAGTTGTTGTGGAAAATGTCTTAACCTGCATTCATGATTATAGTGCCCATCCTACTCCCATGCCTTTTTATACTGTTGTGGTATGATTGTTATGAAATCTTTTTGTCAGTCATGTTTGAGCTAACTTACCTATGTATAGAATTTATATATTAAAAAACCTTAATTTATACTGTGTTTTAACAGTTTGCCTGAACTGTCTATGGTTTCTAAATTTTGTAATGTGAGTGTCAAACAAAAATAATAATAAAAAAATGGCTCAGCAGTGTGGATTTTTTTCTTCAGCTTTATCTGTAGGAGACGTTTCAACAACTACAAATCTACAGAACAAGTTATAAAGAAACTCTTGTTGCTCTGGGACACTAAAAACACAAAGACATCCATGACTCAACAAGGCATTTCATGAATATACCTGTAAACCCCAAAGTACCTGTGGTTTCTACTTCACTATTGCTTTCTTTATCCTCTTGTATTCAGGAGATTGCACTGCACTGTACCTTACAAGGAAAAGAGAGACACATTTTCTTAATAATTCCCATAATAAAATGTTTTCCCAAGAACGGAGGGAGTCCCAGACTCAAAGCTTCTTCATAATGAGAGAAAGCTGACACAGGCCTGGAGATTTTTAGGACCTTTTCCTATAAAACTGCATGGTACAATCAGTATTGCAGTAATCTGAGGGCTTTAGCTGCGATGAGGGACCCATTTCAGTAAGCGTGTATAGTAAGAGACATCCATGCTTCAGATAGCTTAAAATATAAATAAAGAAAAAAGAGGCTCAGAGGTGAAGTTTTTGTGTACGCCTAAGTGGTTGGGTTTCCTTGATGTAAGGCATAGGAACCTGTGCTACATTGCTTCTCTAAGTTTGTTACTTTTACTCAGCGCAGCCTGGCTCTGCCTGTTGTTGCACAAGTGAGTAACTTTGGTCTCGGTAAGTAGTAGCACTGACTCCAAAGCCTGCAAAACTTTATTGTGCAACCTATTTTTTTCAGTGCAGTGTTCTTATTCATGGTGTCAGAGCTGTTACCAAAAGGGCCTGTTAAGTCATCCGGCTGAATTTCCATACAACGTAGATGTAGGCTACTACAGCTCACTCAGGCTTCCCTGTGACGAGCCTCCAGAACTTTACTGGGCTAAAGCATTTTATTCCGCAGAAGACTCCGCTGTGCCACAAGCAGAGAGTGAGAGACACTGAAGCTGTAGAAGAGCGCATGAGCTTTGCAACGATCTGTGATATCCTCCCCATCGCTCTGAGAACCAAACCATGGAACTGCAGAAATCCAGAAACAACCAAAGGCAAAGCACAACTACTAATCAACCAGCCTCTAACCAGAGGGAAGAAAAAACAAAACCAATACATCTTTAATTAAAAGAAAGCAAGTACAGCACAGGAAGTACTCAAAGTCAGGAATTTTTGGCTCTGCTATTGAGTCTTTTCTGAGGCTTTGGGCAAGGCAGACAAGCCCTGCTTTAAATTTTGTATCTGAACAATGAGAAAACTAAATGAGCTTTACTTCTCCTGAGTAACTGCTGTGAGGATGGATCACCTAACGTAAAGCACTCGAATTGCACTCTGAAGCAAATGTTTTAAATGTAGCTTTTCATAAATGCGCAGCGGTATCCTACCAGGATAATTGCACTGAATTTTAAAGTAATCTACTGTTATAAAGCAGTCTAGAACAGGGTTGTATTTTGCCTTATTCCTTCTTCCAGTTGTGCATACCTTTGGTACTACACAGCCGAATTAAACAAGGAGATATCTGATATAAACAAAAGTAAATACCATAAGGATTGACAACAGAAATAGCTATATTTACATTCAAATAATTTCCTTCCCAGTTTTGTAAAGACTAGATTTCCCCTGACTTGATTCTTCACTGTGAGATCATTTCCATCTTAAAAATGGCCGTGTCTAGAGGGGCTGTTGCTTTATTTGCTACATAACCCAGTCACGTCCTGTGAACTTCTCCAGATTTTATCCTCTTCAGAGATCCCACCTAAATTCCAGAAGCCCTGATAGCTCTCTACTGCTGGGTCTCCACTGCCACCTTCCGAACAGAAAGGAAAATTAGCTGCTTTTAATATTGCTATTCTCTTCAGCGTTTACAGAGGTATCTTGGAAAGCACTGGATTCTATTTGGCACACATACAGCTATATTTGAAACTCTGATTTCTAATTTGTCTATGCAGGATACTTTCTATAAAACGTGTTGTCAGATTTTTGCTTCAAGGTGAAATATCTTCAATTTTCTTTATGTACATTTGATATGAAGAAGGTACAACCTTTATATACCACTTTTCTTTTTTCAAAGAGGTTCAAAATGAACAGCTAATTATTCTTAACTTCAGGTAGATTTATTCCTCTTGCAGTTGTCATTGATTCAGCTGAGAACCTCTGAGGGAAAGTGATAAATTTTTGCTAGGTTACATACGTTACATTTGCATAAGGAACAAGTTATTTTCATCCCTGCCATCCCAGTCTGAAAATCCTTCTTCCCGAGAGCGGACTTGAGAGACCCAAGAGACCCTGGCATCAAAATTTTCCTGCTTCAAGTTACAGCCATTTTTTCATATTCTCTTCAGCATCAGTTTATGTGTGCATGGTCTCGCGCTTGCTCTCTCTGTTTATAACTTTTTATGCCTCTTTATGTTTCTTCTGTTGCTTGCGTTCTGAGAGAATTCCTTATGCAGGGGCTCTGTCACTGGATTGTGGGAAAACTCTTAACACACTGCAGATGTTATTGCTGTCTTTATAAATAATAGCCAATCATTTCCATGCTAAAGGAGAAATAGTAAACCACTGGCATCAATGCCATATTTGATATTGACAGCTTTGGTCTATGGCAAGAACCGTGAGGCAGAAATTTTTTTCTTTACAGTATGTGGCAACAAACAGCCACCAACAGCCATCATTTCTCTTCTTAAAAAAAAACAAGGGGGGGGGAGAGAAACAGGATTTTCACTCTAGTGCAATCCAGATTTAAATGCTTACCTTAAACGCCCTGGCAGAGGTATTTGAATGAAAATTTTAAAACCACGAAACATATGTCTTTTTCTTTTAAAGTACTACTTGCTAATAATTTGAGGGACTGACATTGAAAAAACACCAGCATTTGTTCAATAAAAAGCAGACTACACCTTAGATAATCTGGTTTCTGCTTCCGTTGCCAAATCTTACTGTATCAGAGGTAAAAGTTTTTAAAATTATTCTGGAAAAGTGATTACGTTAGGGTAGTTTCAATTTATCCACTTATCTTCAGAGGTTTGTTAAGTTCCCCAGATATGACACTGTGAGTTAATAGATTTGAAGACTGCATTTCAGTTCCAGTTTTCCCTGTGTTTTTTTTTTTTTTTGCTTAAAAGAAAAGCTATTTGGGCTTATGAAATTCAGTGTTTAAATGCCTGCTAGAGGGGTTAGTAACAGCATTTTTCCACTGTACGGAAGGAACTGTACTCATTCAGACCTGTGACACCAAGGTTTTGCTTTTCCCTGAGCAGGCGAATATTTGTCTCTGCTGGAAGCACGTTACTGAACTTGCCTCACTGCAGAAAACGCTCTGGGTATCAGTTAGAAATTGCATCCTCGGTACAACATACCGACGGGCGGCCGCTGCGCTCCCCGCTGCCTGGTCCAGCAGGTCGCTCGGCTGCAAGGTGTCGGATGGGCTCCCGGCCTGTCCCCAAGGCTCGAAGCATCGATTCACTTTCAGTCGGGAAGGCCAATACTCTCTTTTCAGCGGCCAGATCAATGACTCATGGAGGATGGGGTGGTTGCGACTTGCTGACTTGGACAGAAAATCAATGTTATTAGATTTCACTGTAGAGCCTGTTAGCGCCGCGCCGCAAAGACTCCCCCGGGGACTTACCTGTTAGCTACTCTTACAGCTAAAGCGTGAGCACGAAGCCTGGTTTAATAGTGGCATCAATCAATCTGGACCCCAAATTACTTAAATGCAACGTTTGGTGAGTTTGTTGTGAGGAATTAACTGATGGTGCGACTTCAAAAGGAGACGCTGGCCGCGGAGGAAGGCGCGCGGCGATGGCGGTCGCTCCGCCCGGCGGCTTGAACCCCAGCCTGAGTTTGGGGCCTCACGCCCGCAAGGG